TGTTCTACAAATAACTTCGCTGTCTCTTCCGCCGTGACTGCATGCGAGCAAGCTACAAAGTGGCACATCTTTGTTAGTAGGTCTACCACCACCATGATGGCTGTTTTCCCTTTGGACTTCGGCAGATCAGTCATAAAATCTATCGACACTGCCTCCCAAGGTCGTTCTGGTGTTGGTAAGGGTTCTAATAGCCCCGCCGGCGCTCGCCTTTCCCCTTTGGCTCGCTGGCACTGCTCGCACCCTCTTACATACTCACGTACATCCTCCCTCACCTTAGGCCACCAAAATTCCCTGGTGACCAACCACATGGTTTTGTGTTGCCCAAAATGCCCGCCGTGGGGCTGTCATGCAACTGCTTGAGTACCCTCCCCTTAAGTCTCCTTCAGGGATATACAGTGCCCCTTTGTAATACAAAGCTCCATTTCTTTCCTCGAAACCCCTTGATTCCTCTCCCTCATCCCTAAGACCTCTGAGCTTATTCTGGGCGTATTCATCATTCTCTGTTTCTTCTACCAGTTCTCTTTGTCCCACCAATGCCGCCCCACACACCCAGCGGTCCTCTGGAATGACATGTCTCTCTTCGGGTGCTCCCTCCCCCTCCAAATATTCAGGTTTGCGTGAGAGAGCGTCCGCCCTAATGTTCTCTGGGCCTGGCACGTAACAAATCTCAAAGTTAAATTTGGAGAATTCCTGGGCCCACCTCACTTGCCGTTGGTTGAGCACTCGTGCCGTCCTCCAATACTCTAGGTTCTTGTGGTCAGTGCACACTTGCACCTTATGTTGTGCGCCAATTAGCAGGTGCCTCCATCTCCGGAACGCCTCATGAATGGCTAGTAGTTCTCGGTCATACACCGTGTAGTTCCTCTCGGATTTGTTCAGCTTTCGCGAAAAAAAGCACACGGTCTCCACTCTGACTCCTCCTTCCCTGGCTGGAGAAGCACCGCCCCAACCGCTCTGTCTGATGCGTCAGTTTCCACTCTCATCGGTTTTGTAAATCCACATGCAGGAGCTGTTGTTCCGAGGCGAAGGCCCTTTTAGTTCCTCAAATGCTTGCTCCGCCTCCTCCGTCCAAACGAACTTCTTCTTACTGCTGAGACAGTCCGTAATGGGCGCCGTCAGGTGGGCAAAGTTTGGGATGAACTTACGATAGAAGTTCCCAAATCCTAAAAACCTCTGCACATCCTTCCTTGTTTTGGGTGTTTTCCATTCCAGTACCGCCTGGACCTTGCCGGGATCCATGGCCAACCCCTTGTCAGACAGGCGATACCCCAGGAATTCCACCTCCTTGGTATGAAACTGACACTTCTCCAGTTTCACCCACAGCTGGTTGGCTTGCAGCCTGCTCAACACTTCTCTGACGTCTCTCACATGCTGCTCCTCATTCTCAGAATACACCAACACGTCGTCCAAGAAGGCCACACAATTCTTGTAAAGCAACGGCCCCAGGACGTGGTTCATAAACGATTGAAATGTTGCGGAGCCTGCTTGTAGACCGAAGGGCATAACTAAGTATTCAAATGCCCCTAAAGGGGTGAACATGGTGGTTTTCCATTCATCCCCCTTCCTTATTCGTATCAGGTTGTACGCCCCCCTTAGATCCAGCTTGGTGAAAATCTTTCCCTTCCGCACCCTTGTCAAAATGTCGTCAATCCTGGGCATCGGGAAGGCCACTGGTTCTGACACTGCATTTAAGGCCCTGAAGTCACACACCAGTCTCGGCTTGTTCGTGTTTTTTTGTCCACAAAAACACTGGGCTGCCCCCCCCCGCCCTGGACTCTCTGATGAACCCTCTCTTCAGGTTCTTGTCAATGAACTCTCTTAGCTCCTGCATCTCTCTGTCTGACATGGCGTACAGCTTGCCCACAGGGAGCTGTGCCCCAGGGAGCAAATTGATTTGACAGTCAAAGGCTCTATGCGGTGGTAGTTGGTCAGCTTCCCTTTCGCTGAAGACGTCACGGAGATCTGCATATTGTCGTGGTACCTTCACGTTCTCTGTTACTTCAGTCCCTGCTAGGGTGGCTTGGACCCCTGCCAAACCCTTTCCCTCTTTGCAGTGTTCTAAGCAATGTGCTGACCCAAAAGAAACCACTCTTTGATGCCAGCCCACCAGCGGATCATGTAACGCTAGCCAGCTCATCCCCAATATAATGGGAGCTCCTCCCAAGGTGGCCACATTAAATGCTATTAGTTCGGTGTGCCTTGCCACCTTCATTATCATTGGGACGGTCTGCAAGCTGACTTCTCCTCCCAACAGCTCCCTGCCATCGATCGTGGTTACCTGCAGGGGGTTGCTTAAAGGGAGCGTCTGTATCTGGTGTTCAGCTGCAAACTCTTTGCTCATGAAATTGCAGGAGCTGCCTGAGTCCAACAGCGCCTTTATCTTTAGAGGGTGTCCGTTTGGCAGCTCTAGTGTCACTTCTATCACTAGGGCGGGTTTAGGAGGTTCTGGCGTGGGCACTTTCACTGCTCTTTGGCCTGGCTGCTGTGCCCCGACAATGGCAGCCAGGCGTTGGCTTTTAGTTGCTCCGGTATTTTTCCTCTCTTCCCTCCACAGCTCCCACCATCCCTTGCCATTCCTTCCTCTGGGGGCAGACTCTGGCAAAGTGCCCTGGCTGTTGGCAGAGATAGCATTTCCGGGCGCCTTTTCCCTCCTTTTTCCCCCCCTCACTGGGCTTTGAAACTGCGCGCGCGCGCTGTTCCGATTTCCATCGGCTCTGCCGGCGGGAAAGTTGGCTCTGGAATGTCTGGAATGCGGAACTCCTTCCAACGTTCCCCTTTCCCTTCCCGCCTCTCCAATGCTCTCGCCTCCTGGCGCGCTCCTATGGCCAGCGCTGATTTGGTCAGCTGGTCCATAGACTCCGCCCTGGGCGCCCGGGAAAGTTCATCTTTCACAGCCGAAGAAAGCCCTTCTTCAAAGAGCATTTGAATGGGTTCCGCCGATAAGTCCCACCCCAATCTGTGTATCAGCATGGTGAACTCAGTCCAGTACTCACGTACAGATCGGCTCCCCTGTTTGCAAGCCATTAACTGTCTGCGCACCACTCCCTTTTCAATATCGCTGGAAAACATCAGATCCATGGCGCGAAAGAACTTCATCGTGTCCTTTAGGACGTCACTATGCGCTGCCATCAGGGGTCTAACCCAGTCTCTCGCCCCCTTTTCAAGATGCCCAATCACAAAAGCCACTCGTGATTCCTCATCAGGGAAATCATCAAACTGCAGATTGAGGGCATATTGCATTTCTGTCCGAAAGCTATGATAGTCTTTGGGCTCCCCCCCAAATTTCTGCACCAATCCTGGTACCTTTCTGGCGAGCTGGGTGGCTTTCTCCCTTTGTCTGCATCTTGAGCCCTCCTCTCCTCCAGCCTCGCCGTCTGCAGCGCCAGCTGGACCTCCAACACCCGGTACCTTTCTTCCAGGCTTGGACCCGCTCCAGCCCCTGCTTCTCCGGTTCCTGCTGGGTTGCTCATTATGCCTTCTCCTGCACAAGCTGCGTTCAAAGACTGTCGGAATGCTGTGATGGGAAGATGAGCTGCTTGTGCGTAAAATCGTATTCCCTCAGTGTTTGTTCAAGTCCACAAACCTCTGTCTGTGACGGAGCCCCTCTGACATGGCTCCTCTAGTCACTAGAAGATTCCGACAGTGGTTGCTTTCGTAATCGCTTCCAACATAAAAGCTCCTTAACGGAAACACGTCTTCTGGACTCTCTGCGTGACAGTTTCCGGCGAGGAGTGGGTGTCCCTACAGGAGGTCCGGAAACCTCACCACTGTTTTCGCTGGAAGTATCTCTGAGCCATCCCCCAGCTCCCTTTCCCTCAGTTCAGCTTCTCTCCCCTGCTGGTTTCCTCTTCAGCTGCTGAGTCTCTTCCAACCTGTCTGAGCCCTTTCACCTCCCTCAGTTCAGCTTCTCTCCCCTTGCTGGTTCCCTGTTCAGCTGCTGAGTCTCTTCCAACCTGTCTGAGTCCTTTCACCTCCCTTCCTTCCGATGGCAGTTCCCTGACAATTCCCTTCTGACCTCACTGTTTAAAATCATTTCTGCCACTACCCCCTCCAACATGTATATCTGTAAATCAGAATATTATTTCATGCTTTTGATAAAGTGGTCAGTAGTCCATGAAAGCTTATCCCGTAATAAATACGTTAGTCTTTAAGGTGCCACAAAACTCTTTGGTTTTTATGTGCTGCCAGAGAATTATCATGGCTACCTTTCTGGAAATGGTAAGTAACTGAAATATTGGGAGACAATAGAGTATCTTGTGTCTGTAAATTCTGTAATGACATATGCACCTGGTGTGAATTTTACCCAAATTGATTGAATTCTTCTTTCATCAACAAACTAAAAAGCTTTACTGCAGTGTATCTTGGCATAAGTTAAATGTTCCATGCCCAAATCTGTATTTGTGGCATCAGAAGAAAGTGTGCATCATAGTACTGAAACTTCCAGAGCCAGATAACACAACTTTTTACATGAGATTAATATTTGTTTTGAGTAGATATTAGCCCTTCCCTTTTTGGTATATAGATTATCCAGCAACTGTCTCAAAAAAAAAAACACAAATGAAAAACTGCTATGGTCAGGAATAAACTGAGTTGCTGGTAAAATGCTTGGGGAAACTTTGGCAGTTTCCCATGCTATTTCTGAATAATCCCCACCCCATCGCAGCGGGATACAGGCATATGGAAATTGGAGCAAATTCTTTTGATGAGAAATCATGGGTGTTTCTTGCAGAAATATCTCCACCTTTAATGTGGATTGTTGTCCAACTTTGTCTTTTGTCTTGAGACTGCAAAGATCTTTGTATTTATGGAATTTGTATGACATCACATAACATAAAGATCTCTGAATCACTTAGAATAAGTAAACTAGGTAAAAACATTTGAGGTACAAAATGAAACAGAACTCTCTGACTCTCCCCAGTCAGATTTGAAAACAAGCCCAGATTACCCAAGTTTTTTAAAAGAGATGGGTTAACACAAGGTGCTTCACTTGGTGCTGAAAAGTTCACATACATGGCTCAGTTGGTTAGAGGGTGGTGCTGATAACCCCAAGGTTGCAGGTTGGATCCCTGTATGGGACAGCTGCATATTCCTGCATTGCAGGGGTTTGGACTAGTCACATGATGATCCTCAAGGCCCCTTCCAACTCTACAGTTCTGTTATTCTTTGGCTCCATGTGATCCAAGATGCCACTACTGAAAAGGCCCTTTCCCTTATGGAAAGGCAGCTTGGCTATATGCTGCTTCAGGCTTTAAAGGTTAAAACTAGCACGTTCAATTGGGCCTGGAAAGGGCCTGGGAGCCACCGTAGCTTGAAGCCCTGTTAATGACCACATTCCGTTTCCAGACTGTTTTTTAAAGGCAGCTGTACACAGAACACATGGCAATAGTCTGACTGAGCAGCTATATCAATATCTCTAGAACTACAGCCTGTCACTCTTCATAGCTGCTCTTCACAGCTGAACTGTGTTGTAAAGTAAAATATGAAGAATTGTTGTGTAAAGCTATTCTATATAAATTTTATATAACTCTTGCTGGATTTCCTTTTTCCCTGCAGTGAAAAATGTTGAATATTTACAGCAAGCTGCTTTAGAAGAATATGGACCAGAGCTCCATGTGGCTTTGAGAAGTAGAAGAGATGAACTTCATTATTTAAGGAAACTTACAGAACTTCTTTTCTCCTTTCTTCTACCTCCAAAGGCAACAGACTGCGGGTATGCTATGAATTTAGGATTCTGATTTATTTGCATTCCATACTTTTTAATTGTGTGGTTACGCACAGTAGAGTCCAAAAACAAATCTTGTAATCTCAGAAAATCTTACTTTGCTTCCAGGACTCTTGTGCAACTACACACCTGGCTAGGGTCAACACTTGGCAGTGTTCATGAAAAACCAGTTGTGTGGGAGTAGCTTCAGTATAACCTGTGCTTGGTTGTGATTCTTCTCAAAGGCTTCAGTCGCAATCTCCAATTAGTAGGTTTTCCTTCCACATAGATCTCGGTTGTACAGAACTGCTCCTCTTCCGTCTGCCCGCAAAGCTTAATGGCAACATCACCACAGCGCCATATTCTTCAGTTATTTTGCACCCTTCGTAGTAGTGATCAGTACACATTTCAAGTGCTTCAAATTGGCTCTGGTCTGCAAGACAGAAAGGCCAGAGGAGTGCACTGTGAGCAGCAGTGTGAGGAATTCTTGCATATTTTGTAAAATAGAACAGCAAGTGATTTTCCCAACAGTTTAGAACGAGTACTTTATGAAAGCTCCATTGCGATGAGAGAAAAAGCAGAAATGTATAAAAATAGGCTCTTTTATTCCTTTCAGATCATTCACCATACTTATAAGAGAAATCCTTTCAGGTTCTGTTTTCCTTCCCACCATGGACTTCTTAGCTGATCCGGTGAGTTTTGAGAAGTTCACATAGCCCTGTTTTCATTTTTCAACAAAATACTACAGTTCGGCTGCTATAAGAATGAATTGTTGTATTTGTTTTCTTTTTATTATTGCATTTGCCTCAGACCTTTTCTCCAAGCTCAAGGTGCTGCTGTCCATGGTCCTCCTGGTCCTCATTTTATCCCTCATAACAACCCTGTGAGGTAGGTCAGGCCGAGGGACTAGGACTTCCCTAAGGTCGCCCAGTGAGCTTCATGGCTGAGTTGGGATTTTGAAACCTTGTCTCCCAGGTCCTAGCCTGACACTCTGATCCTTGTTTGCAAGGGTTTATTCATTTTACGTTTTAAGTGGCTTTAGGGTTTTTTATTAATATTAAAGAAAATCGGGATATAAATTATTAAAATAAAGAGATGTTCTAGGAAAAGCCTCTGCAACATTATCACTTGAACTAGGAATTCACAGGGCTTCATTTGTAACAGCTACAGTTGTTGAATATATAAGATTTTTCATTGTTCCAGCAACCATTTGATTGTACTCCCACTAAATGCATTTTTAGATTTTTTATTTTATTTTTTTGATGGCAGGTTTCAGTCTGCGAACGTGCGCATTTATTCATAAGCAACTAGCTCATTACGATCTGAGCCAAAATCCTTTTACAGTTGTGGCTTGGCTTATACATCATCTTGGCTCATTCTGAGCCGTCTCTGCTCCTTTCCCTTTTCTGGAAACATACCTTCCAGCGGCAATGAAGGGGGAAAGCAGGCTGCACAAACTGGAGGACTGCTCTCCAGCCCTTGGTTCGGTTTTAAATCCTTTAATCGATACAAACTTCTCAGTGCATAATAATAAGTTCCCAGGGCCTGGAAATTCTAGCAAACTGTGGTTTTGTTGGCAGAGTCTGATAGGCTGATAGGCTGTTGACAGAGGTGAAGATTGAAGCCACCAGTCACGTTGCTTTGGATGCGTTTCAGCTTGTGCAATCCAAGGATTTGGTGGAGGCTGCTTGGAACATCGGGTGCCACCACCTGTGCACGAAATCATTGTCTTTTCTGGCTACTACAGGCTGCTAGGACCAAACGTACTATCTGAACCATGTAGTGAGTCATCCTTCTCTGAGGGAAGGGATCATGACTGCTGCCCTGCCCATGTCCTTTGTTTTAAAAGATCAAATCTAGATCCAGTGGTCCTTGATAACTACCGCCTGGTGCCCAGTGTTCCATTTTTAAGCAAGGTCTGGAGTGGGAGGTGCTACTGCAGTTCCAAGCAGCCTTGGATGATATTGATTACGGAGCCATTCAAGTCTGGCTTTCAGCCTAGTTATGTGATGGAAGCAGCCTTGGCCACCTTGGTGGATGACTTACTCTGGGGAATGGATTGGGGACTGTAGCCTTGTTGGTTCTCCTGGGCCTCTAGTGACCTTTGAAAACATTGACTATGGTGCACGTGACCCAAAAACTAGTGGGAGCTGGTGAGCCAATCAGCTAGTCACAGAAGGATAGACTCATAGAATTGTAGAGTTGGGTCATCTAGTCTATCTAGTCATCTAGTCTATCTAGTCATCTAGTTGGGTCATCTAGTCCAACCCCCTGTAATGCAGGAATCTCAGCTGAAGCATCCATGGCAGGTGGCCATCAAATCCCTGCATAAAAACTTCCAGTGAAAGTTGAGTTCACCACCTTCCACCGTCAAACAGCTCACTGCCAGAAAGCTCTTCCTAATGTTTAGTCGGAATCTCCTTTCTTGTAACTTGAATTTGTTGGGTCGTGTCCTAGCCACTTGAACAGGAGAAAATGAGCTCGCTTCCTCTTCCACGTGTATGTGTGTAAGAGAGTGGAATTTAAGTGAAGTGCTGACAGCTGACGGTCAGATAGGGACTGTCTGAGAGATTTTCTGTTTTTTGTTTTTTTAAATAACATTTATTAAGATTTAAAAGATTACAAAAAGAAAAAATAGAAAACAGCATATTAAGCAGAAAAACAGAACATCACATCACAACAAAGAAAAGAAGAAAAAATAATAAATAAATAAATAAATAAATACAATGAATCTTCCCATAACTTATCTTTCATTTGCTTATTTCCTTGACCTCCTCACACCTCCTTTTTTTGTATTCTAGTTCAGTTAGCTATTTCAGCAAGTCCTTTCCATCTTTTCCAGTTTTTGTCCTCTATTTTACCTTAATATATTGTAACTTTACTTTCCCTCCTTTCACCATTTAACAATCTGTTTTTTCTTAATCCTTTATAGCATTTCTGCTAAAACCACATTACTTCATTCCAACATCCTTCTAACATTCCTTAATTGTCTGAGAGATTTTCTGTGGGTTAGACAGGAGGCTGGGATTAGAGAGAGGGACTTTCAGGGTGGGCAGAAGGGGTGTCTGACTTATCTGAGAGGACTCCGAGTTTATCTGTCATTGGGGACAGATAGTGAATTGGCTCTCAGTTAAAGATAGGGATCGTCTATGGACAGGCAAGGTTCTCTCTCTCTCTCTGTGTGGGATGTTAGAATTCTAGAAGGGGCTGGGAGTCTTTTACAGGTAGCGTAAGACAATAGCCACCCTAGAAAGAGTGCATTTGTCCAGTGGCAGGTTTATAGTGTGAAGTTAAGGAAGATCTTAAATATCTCTAAGCTATAACTTTATTGAGTATAAACAAATGAAGTTCTAGTTTTGGTACTAAGAGTGTCTCATCCTTACTCAGTTCACCTGGGTAGGGGGTTGAACGGCCACAGTTTTGTGCTGCTGTAAAATCATTATTATTATTACACAGTGGCTCTGGTCCTTTCTGGTAGGGCACGCCCAATGGCTGGTGTTAGGGAACTTCTGTTCCACTCTTGGCCTTTGGCCTGGGAAACTGCTGGAGGAAGTGGAGGTTTGGGCTGCAGCGCCATTAACATGCAGATGCCAGTTAGCCCTCATTTCCACCTCATAGTTCTGCGGAGGCAGTGGAACGTATGAGCTGGCAGTCTCACTCTGAGGTGGCTGCCTTATGTGGTCAATCATTAAAACCATAGCATAGAAACAGACCCTTAGTCAAAGGGAAAGAAATATAATATATGTTAGTCATAGTTTGCATCTTGGGATCAAAGGGGTGGTTGTTGTTGTTGTTTATTCAGCGCCATCTATGTGCTTGGTGCTTTCTGAAGAACAGGTATGGAAGTTCCCTGCCCTAAAACAGATGCCGAGAAACTACATAGGAAGGCAGTGTCACAGAGCTTTCTTCACATGAACGCACACAAACACCCTCCGAGGGGGGAAAGCATGACCCACACAGCTCCAACTTTTCGGTAGTATTGCCACCACCCTTCCGAGAAGCCTCTTAATCCAGGAATTGGGGAACTACCTGCATATTCTCTCTCTAGTCATCGCTGGAAGGCTGAGTCAGCCCATCCTCTCCTGATTCTCTGCCTGACCAAACCTTGGAGCGTGTTCGGATCAGCTTAGCTCATAAGCTGTAGTGATCTCAAGCAACCATCCAACCTCCAGTATTACAAAACGGTTATCTCTTTATTTAAAAGAAATACGGTAATGAAAAAGGAAGGGGGAGGAAGGAGAGCAGAGTGCAAGACAAATCAAAACGTAACATCTAGTTAGCTCGCTTGAGCAAGCTATTAGGTTTAACTGAAATGCCTGGAATAAACATGGATCTGCAAGTGTTCTGATGAGCACCAAATCTAGTAAAAAGAAGCCC